GCCCCTGCCAGCTGTTGGGAGTGTTTGATGTCCTAGATGCCTGAGTGGGTAGAGGTGGGAGAGAGAGCAGGAGGGGGTGAGCAGAGCCTGGCTTTGGAAACCGGAGCAGCTCCGCACATTTTGGCCCAAATCCCTCCCATGCTTGGGGTGAGGAGAAGCCCAGGGTAAGGGTGTCTCCTAGAGCCAGGAAGATCTTGGTGCGGTGGGAGTGTCGGGTCCGCACGCTCCTCCTCCACACAGGGCCCCCAGCAGGGCCGGATTTCATCTTTTCTCAGTGGCGTGCAGCCTCTTGCCACTGTGCATGCGTGTTTTCTAAGTTTGTCACAAACTTCCTGTTTAGGTACGATAAGAGGCTCGGAGCTTTTTGTGTTTTGAAACCCGGGCATTCACCGAGGTCCGGCGCTTCTCTCTTACCAGCAGTGGGGTGGCCTGTTTGTTCCTTTGCGGACTTCTGCCGTCCTTCTTTGGAAACCTTCTTGCTGGGAAATGCTCTGTGGCCTCTGTGCTTGTTTCTGTTAGTAAGAGTAGAGAGAGCTGTGAGGTCTGAAGGCTGGAAACGGGGAGGGGAGCACGACTGAGGAAGCCCCTTATGTAAGGCCAGGCACTGTGCTAGATATTATACTTCCATACACTTATTTATTTATTTAGTTAGTTAGTTAGTTTGTTTGTTTGTTTGTTTGAGACAGACTCTTGCTCTGTCACCCAGGCTGCAGTGCAGTGGCGCGATCTCGGCTCACTGCAAGCTCCGCCTCCCAGGTTCACACCATTCTCTCCGGCCTCCCGAGTAGCTGGGGCTACAGGCGCCCGCCACCATGCCGGGCTAATTTTCTGTATTTTTAGTAGAGACAGGGTTTCACCATTCACAGGATAGTCTCAATCTCCTCACCTCGTGATCTGCCCACCTCGGCCTCCCAAAGTGCTGGGATTACAGGCGTGAGCCACCGCGCCCAGCCTACACTTATTTAGGCATCACAGTCACTTATGCAGAGCCAGACTCCAAGAGGTGAAGGCTGACCTGGCTGATGAAGTTAGGATTTGATCCCAGGCCTGACTCCAGTGCTCCTATGACTTCAGCTAAGTCCTGAGGAGTAGTACACTGCCCCTTTGGTTGCCCCTGGCTTGGGTAGATCCTGATTTCTTATAGGGCATCTTGGTGACAGTATCCCCTTGAAACCTATGGTTTTCTCTCAGCCCCTTGTTACCCAGATCTGCCCATCTGTCTGCCTGGGGTGATTGGATGGCCTTTGAGTGCTTTGCTGATTTTCACTTTTCCCGGGCATCTTCCTCTTGTGGCTCTGGGAATCCCAGAATTGTTAGATGGTGGTCCGTAGCCAGTGATTGAAGTGGATCAGTCCAACTTCTCATTTCCCAGAAAAAGAATATTCTTTTTCCTGCTTCTGGGCGCCCAGCCCTGACTGTTCTGCCAGTCACCATGAGCTTCTCCATACAGCTGGATTTCTCACATTTCAAGCTCTCCCTTGAAGCAGGAAGAAGAGGGTATATCTATCTATGTCTACAAAAGCATGTGAAAGGGTGGCAAAGGAAGGACACCAAGACCTTGAATATGCAGGTGCAGGAAGAGGAGGGAGGAGCCAAATCCAGCCGTCCTCCTCCCCGTTAGAGTGGATGTTAGGAGGTGCTGGACTCCGGTGCCTCCTAAACAGGAAGAATAGGTATTCCTCCCAGCTTCAAGAAGGCCCCATGTCCGTTCACTTGGCCATCCCGGTTCCCCTGTATTTTCTGAAAAACTTCTGGAATCATATTGCCTGAGCATCAGGATTGTTCTGTAGATCAAATAACTGAGACACTGTGTTGAGCAGCAGGCAGTTGCAAGCATTTTCAATAGACGATTCATTGCCCTCAAGAGGCTTGCAGTCCACATGAGCACAGGGAGCTCTTGCCCAGAGAAGCTAGATGCAGTGAGCTCAGAAGAGCCAGGAGAGCTTGGTAAGCTGGGTTGGTGCCGCCCAGCAGACTGCAGGAGAGGGCTGGAGCTGGGTGGCCAGACGGCAGAGCTGCAGGGGAGGAATGTGCTGGGTGTTGGGACCTTGATGGGGTGCATGGACTGGGCAGGGGATTACAGATGGGGTGAGCAGAGGTACGCATGGGAAGCAAGATTGAAGAAGGAGATGTGCACCGTTTATGAAGGATCCCAAGGGGTGGCTGTGGAGCTTGGAATGTTCCTGTATTGAGGAGCCTCCAAAGCCAAAGCATGGGGCCGGGATTGGTAAATGCAGTGCTGTAAGAAGATCCGTCTCAATTTGTGAACTGTAAATGGGCAGTCCTGGGAGGTAACTTAGGAGACATTTGTCATGTCAAGTGTTAGGAATGAAATGTTGAGGACTTGGACTAGGGTGGTGGTAGTATATGTAGAAAAGACGAGAGGGAAGTGGAAAGTTTCAAATCTCAGCTCTGCCACTTGCTACCTGTGTGACCTTGAGCAAATTCCTTCATCTCTTTCAACCTGTTTTGTCGTCTATAAATAGTGGCTAAAAACACTTCACAGGACTCTTGTTTGAGGATTTTAACTTGTAACACACCCAGTACTTAGTAGGTACTCAAGGAATAATGAATCTTCTCATGCAGGAAGAGGCATCATTTTGTGACTGGGAGGATTTAAGGGAGTGGAGTATGAGGTTCTGGGTCTGGGAGCCCGGGAGAATGATGAACCCTTCATAGAAAGAGATGGACCTGCTTGGGGCTTTGAATTCAGCTTTAGGAACTTCTCCTCCTAAACCCTGGCTACTGAGGGCTGTCACAGAAAACCCCACATCCATGCAGATTGTGCCTCTATGAAACCACAGCCTCTGGTTAGAGCAGGGTCCTCCTGGATGCTGGCCAGCAGCTGGCTGTCTCAGTCAGGGTGTGGACTAGGGTGAGAGAGTGAGCTACCTAGGGCACAAACGTCAGGAGGTGCTGGGTTTCAGGGCCACGCCTGCACTTGATACCCACAGTGGGACATGCATCCCAGCCTCCTCTCCTATCTGCCCTTCTCCACTCAGGAGACAACCTGGCTTCTCTGTTCACTGAAAATGTTACTCCACGACTAGCCCACTCAGGTTCCCGCCTGCCCTCCTGGGTGCTGACCTGCATCTGGGCTCATTCCCACCTGATTTCCTTGCACTCAGAGAAAGAAACATCCTTCCTCCTGGCCAGAGAGAACCCTCTCCGTGTACAGGGGTCCCCCTGCTTCCTACAGCCCCTGGGACCTCACGCCTCAGTCTTGCAACCCAACTTCCTCAGACCTTCACACCCCTCAGCCTCACCTTCTCTTTTCTCCACCCCTCACAGATGGATGTATGGAAATAAGCTGCCCTCGCCAACACAGCCCATGCAGGCTGGCCTCCACCGGTGGGGGCTTGTACCTTGTCCAGGGCAGGGAGCTGGTGGGTTTGCTGCAGAGGCCTCCCGCCTTCTGCAGGGGCTGCTCTCTCTAAGGTCACCCGCGGCCTCCATGTTGCCACACACAACGGACACTTCAGTCCTTATCTGTCTGGGCTCTTTGCTGCTTTTGACACTGTGGACAGCTTCCTCCTTCTTGCAACTTTCTTTTCTCTTGGCTTATTTGATTCCATCATACAAAGTCTTTCAACAGCTATTTCTTGAGCACCTACTATGTGCCAGGCTCTGGGCACACCATAATACGATGTCCCTGCTCTCAGGGAGTTTACAATTTAAGGGAAATGGGGAAAGGGGGACGAAAAAAATAAATAAATGTCAGGTGGTGATAAGAGTTGTAAAGAGAAATACAACAGGGAAGGAGGCTAGGAAGGGGGCCGGGGTTGGACGTGGGCCTCACTGCAAAGGACATGAGAGCAGAAACCTATAGGAAGTGACAAATGCCTGGGAGATGAATGCTGCAAGGATGGGGAAGAGCAAGTGCAGAGGGTTGAGGCAGGAGCCTTCCTGAATGTTTGAGGAAGCCATTGTGGCTGGAGGAAATGGAGGAAGGGCAGAGTAGGAGGAGAAGGGGTCAGGTGTCTCAGTCCATCAGGGAAGACGCCCAGCCAAGTCATTTGGACTGTGGCCATTTCAAGGACTTTGGCTTTTACTTTGATACAGATGAAATACTATAGGAGTGTTCTGAGCAGAAGAGTGATTTTTAAATGATCACTTAGGCTGCTCTGGGGAGCATGCTGTATTTGTTAGCTTGAGCTGCCATAACCAAGTACTACACACTGGATGGCTTAAACCACGAATTTATTGTCTCACAGCTCTAGAGGCTGCGCGTCCAAGATCAAGGTGTTGGCTGGAGACTCCAGGGACGGGTCTGTTTTGGGCCCTTCTCCAACTCTGGGTAGCTTCTTGGCTTGTGGCAGAAAACCTCCAATCTTCCAAATGTCCCCTTTTTATAAAGATACCAGAGTCATTTTGGATTAGGAACCCCCATTCTACTTTAGTAGAACCTCATCTTAACTTTTATATCATCAATGACCCTGTTTCCTAATATGACATCTTCAATGACCCTGTTTCCTAATATGCCACATTCTGAGATCCGAGGGATCAGAATTTCAACATAGGAATCTTGGAGAGACACTGTTCAACCTCCAAGACATGGTTATAGAAAGGTAAGGGGAGGAGTGGGACAACTAATTAGGGGGTTATCACAGTAACCTAATGAGAGATGCTGCTCACTTGGACCAAAGTGGTACCAGTGGAGGTGTTGAGAAATGGTGAGGGTCTGGATATTACTTTACGTTAAAGCTGGCGTCCTTTGCTGATGGATTAGACGTGGGGTGTGAGGGAAAGAGGAAAGCCATGATGACTTGGGTTTAGAGCCTGAATAACCAGAGTGAAGTTGGACGTCTTGGTCTCCTAAGTCCTCTTCTCCCCTGGGGACCTTCCTCAGCAGCCTTTGCTGGGTCCTCCTCCTGGGTGGGCCCATCAGCTGCTGGGTTCTTCAGGGTTTTATCCCGGGTCAGTCCTTCAGTCTCTTCCTGATCAATACTTACTGTTCGAAGCCAGATGTCCTGACTGTGCTCTTTGGGTCACTCCTGCAGGCCCTGGCTGTGGAGGATGCTGAAGGAAGAAGACGCAGAAGCAGGACAACCCTGAAAGATTCAGCCTCTTCATCCTCAAACAGGTAGCTTCTTGGGTATTGTTGCTGTTGGAACATTTTACAGCAAAGCAGTCGTAAGACCATTTCTTGGACCCACATATTGTGGAGAACGCCCCAGGAAGCGGAGGAGGGCTGCTCTGGGCCTGGACGTCCATTGATTTCTAGAAAATTTTCTTTGGGAAATGGTCAGGGATTGTGGATTCACATAATGGTTTTTGGCAGCTTCTGGATTGGGGTGGAGGGCGTCTTGTCTCTCTTGATTTCGCAGAGTTGTAAATAGTTGAGGATCCAATGGACGTCCACGGATGGTAGTTCTAGAAGTGTTTAGAAGGACTTAAAAATGTCTGGGATGCATCTCTGGAGAGTGGTGGTGTAGAAGGCTGCTGTGGGAAGCTCCACAGAGAATGCCAGAGGCGGATTCCTGGATTCAGGAGCCTTAGCTGGCCCTGGGGCATTCCTTGTGTTTTTATCAGCTCTGGCCTTAAGATCCCTTCCATTCTCAGTTTGTCCCTCCATAAAATGGGCATACAGCTATGATTCCTCTGCCGGGCCTCCCACAAGCTGTTTCAAGGGTCAGTAGTTTGTGCATAAATAGAATGTTAAGCTTTTATTTCAGGTGTAAACCCTGATCCAGCAGGAGATGGCTCCGTCCTCCACACATTCTTGGTGACAGTGGGGAAGGGGGTGGTGGTATCTGATTTGATTATTTCAGTGTGTGTGGTTTTGTTTTCTTGGCATGTGCCAAACTTTCCATTCCTCCTATGTGAGGCTCAGAGTTGATTGCTTCGGTTTCTTTTTTATTGTGCCTAATTCTGATTTAATTTTAAAGCCATTGTATCTCAGGGTTCCAGTCGGAAACATGTGGCTCATGCAAATGGGGTAATTGAAGAGCCTTTACTGAAGGGAGTATTTATAAGGATGCAGGCAGAGTTAAGAGAAGCCAACAAGGGATGCTGAAGCACCCAGGGTCAGCAGTGGCAGGGAGCTGTTACTGTGCCTAGGCCTGGAAGGAAGAGGGAGGGATTGGCTGTCAGGATGGGAAACAGGAGCTAGAGAGGTGTCCCTGGTAGAGGAATGTAATCAACCTACAGCAGCATGGCCAGGAAAGAGCCAAGAAAATAAACATCCTCATTGAACCCCTGAGATCTCCCGTCTCCTGATGCCGGTGCCTCCCATTAGGTAGCCTCAGTCAGAGCCAGAAGGCAAGGAAACTGGGTGGGTGCTGTCCACGGAGGGCAGAGCCTCTGTAGGGCAGAGCTGTGTGGAGGGGGATGGAGGGTGGATCTGCGGAGCAAATGGGAACAGTCTCACAGAGTCAAGAGTTGAAGGTCACTTGGATTACAAGGATGTTTCTACTTTAGACCAAAAGAAGCTTTTGTGTATGTTTGAGTGAAACTTTGCATTGTGAGGTCAGCACAATGAACTGATTAATCAGCTCATGTACCTGCCATGTGCAGGGATAGGGTGGACTGCAGGGTGGGCGTGAACCAGCAGCTCAGCAGTATCCTAAACCATCCAAGTTTTTTTTTTTTTTTTTTTTTAATCTCGCTGCTCCTTCCTCCCTGGGTCAGTTCATCCTCAGGCTGGCTTCTGCACCAAACTGGCTTCTGCACCAGGCTGTGGGGACACTGGGGGTGTGTAGAGTTCTGGACACTGTCAGGGGAGGAGGAAAATAGATCTTGGGAGCCATAGCTGACATCCATCATACTGTACCACCGGTAGAAGTAGAATAATAACCTTACTAACTTGGACCAGTCATTGGGGATAATAGTGAGAGGACACTCAACCTTAACTAGTAAAAGTTTGAATCTTCCAGTGTTTTAATGTGGTATAGTGTCAAGCAGAACCTTCCCAAACACATCCTGTTAGAAGCAGGTAGCATCTGTTCTTCAGTGTGTCTTAAAACGTAGGACCGTCTAGCAGGCTAAATATACCTTCTGAAATCCCGTTTAATTTCTCATTTGCTTATTCAACCTTTTAATAGCCAGAGTAAACACTGAACTCAAATTCTGGGTTGGTGAAGATTAAATTACAGTAATGAGGTTCCTCATTTATAACCTCATCTATAAAATGGAAATAAGAATAGCACCTACTTTATAGGTTTGCTGTAAGGATTAACTGAGGTGATCCATCCGAGTCAAGCGCTTAGCCCAGTGGCTAGCCCAATAAATGTTACCTTTATTAGTGTCATATATTGCCAAATATTGTCACCTTTATGTTTTTATGTACATGGTTAATCTAGAAAATTAACTCTCTTCACAACAAATATATTATCTGCTGCTGATTAGTTCTGTTAGAGAAAAGGTAAATAAAGGTATTAAAATATTTAGTGTTTGTGGATTCTTTTTTTTACTGAAGTGTTTTTTGTTTGTTTGTTTGTTTGTTTGTTTTCTGTTAGAATTCATTTTGGGGGAAGCCTAAATAGAGAGAAGTTTAAGGAGCATACAATTAAAAATAGATATAACCTCTAGAATATAGAGATTTTAAAATTTTATGGCAATATGTTCTTATATTCTTAGTTGAAAAATCTCTTAAATAGTTGATGGCCTGTCATGACCTGTGCCAGCTGATTTTTTTTTTTTTTTTTTTTTGTTTTGAGATGGAGTCTTGCTGTGTCGCCAGACTGAAGTGTTGAGGCACCAACTTGGCTCACTGCAATCTCCGCCTCCCAGGTTCAAGCGATTCCCCTGCCTCAGCCTCCCGAGTAGCTGGGACTACAGGCACGCGCCACCATGCCTGGCTAATTTTTGTATTTTTAGTAGAGATGGAGTTTCACCATGTTGGCCAGGATGGTCTCAATCTCCTGACCTCATAATTCACTCACCTTGGTGTCCCAAAGTGCTGGCATTACAGGTGTGAGCCACTGAGCCTGGCGATTTTTTTCCTTATTCTCAGTTTGGAGGCTCTGGAGGGATGAGTGACCCCCCTTGCCTTTGGTTTCCTGAACCAGCTGTCCTGGGAGGATGGATGGATTTTCGGATCACTGGGATTGAGTGAGATGCCGCAGTACTGAGAAGCTAGTCTCGGGCATACACTTTAGTAGAATTTCAGCTGACGATATGGTGAATCATTCCCGAAAGCCTCTGGTGCCACAGGGCTGACCTCTCAGAATCCCAGGAGGGTCAAGCATCTTGATTTGGGTTTCCCAGATTAATGGTGGGGAGAGCACAGGTTGGCACAGGGCCTCCAAAAGCTTTACCACCTGTTTCAGAACCAGGAGGAGGAGGCTTTGACGATGGAGGGCTGAGCATGTAGGGTGCAGCAGGAGAACAGTGTTCCAGAATGACCAGGAGCTTTGAAGACTACATTCTTCATCCCCACTCCCCTGAGTGTTGACTAAAGTTAGCCTTCCGTTTTCTGTAGGTTGTTAGTTGCACTTGGGGCTTGCCACCATTTTGATACCTAGATGAGCACTGATTGACTCCAAATTCCTTGGCTCAGAGAGTGCTGTAAACTAGTGGTTCTCAAATGAAGATTGCCTGGACCAAGAAAGCACTAGGAGAGAGAGAGAGAGAAAAAAAAAAAAAAAAAAAAAAAAGCTTTAGGGCATTGGCCTAGGACTCCCAGTCTTTTTTATTTTGCCAAGTTAGGACATTTTAAAAACTCTTAACACTCATCACCAAGCTTTTATGAAAAAACCATCTTAATGCCAAAGTAGTAGGAAAAGATAATATAAGAACAAAACAAAAATCTTTAAATTGAAAACGCTCAGCTTTAGGAATAATTTACTACATTGTTCTTATTTTTCTGACATCACCTGTGAAAAGTACACCAAGGGAGGGTGGGCACTGCCCTGCATTTGCCCTCCAGGTGTTGGGCGCTCACCCGGTGATGTGGAGTTAGCTCCTGAATGCGCAACTGTAGGGAAATACACCCTACTTTTTGAAGCCTCACTTGGAGCCTAAGAGTTCTCTAGAGTCATATCTTGATTGGATTTATAAGTTAAAGTTGGGAGAAAATCCATTTTAATACAAGTTTTGGTAAATCCAATTTATTTTATAAAGAAGGAACCGTTTACCCTCCAGTCATTAACTTAGAATTGTTAGTTTAATTTTCCACCAGCAGGAAGAAAATCTTACAATACCTAAGTAGTTCAAATTAGAAAGTGTGTCAACAGTTTTTCCTTTTCCACCATTTAACCCTAAAATTGATAAATGTCTTCAATTTGATCTGGCTTTCAGCTGTATGGTATGCCTCTGCAGGTGGGAAAGGGTGTGTGTGCCACCTCCCCACCCCCCCACAAATATGCAGAAAGCTTGGTTTGATCCCTGGAGCTCCAGAAAGGAAGGGGTGCTTGTGAGAAATGTTGCTGGTAAGTGCTAGTATTAATACTTGTAGCAGTCACTTGCTGGTGTTAGTACTTGTAGCAAAAGTTGCATCTCAGAAGTGCCAAAATAGTGTGACTTTTTAAGACGCCTTTTGGAGTCATTAAAAATCCCCAAACATACACCCAACCACCCCTGCCATCCAGAAGCTTAACTAAACATTACTCATTCTGCTTTCATTACACGTCTGCCTGGCTTTGCCACAAACACACTTTGCCTTCCAGCCAGGATTAAGCTTCTGTGTTAGGCCATGACTGGTGTGAAAGCAACTCCTCTATCCTTGTTGACCAGGACAGAAAGACTGCTTGCTCGCCCGTGTGAAATTATGAATGGAATCATGAAATCCTGGAGCCAAAGCAAGTTTGTTGCCTTCCTGCAGGACTGTCCTAACACTCATCACCTTGACTGGCAAAAGGTGTCCTAATTCTAACATTTCATGGGTCTCCTGTAAACAAGGACGTGATCTCAGATGTGTCTTTCTCAATAAAAAGACCATTCTGTGGCACTCTAACACCTACAGTTATTGCCTGTTAACCGCATTCCTGGGCAAAGCATTACCATTTGAGTCCTTCTAGTATCCTCATCTATGCTCATATGCTTTTATGGCACAGTTCTTGCACGTTCTAGCAAACACTGGATTTTTTTTTTTTTTTTGAGACAGAGTCTTACTTTGTCACCCAGGCTGGAGTGCATTGGCAC